TCACTTAGAGCAGAGAGAGAGCATCCCATACCTGAGGAGGGAGAGGTGCACTTAAAGCAGAGAGAGCATCTCAGAGAGAGAGAGAGAGAGAGAGAGAGAGAGAGAGAGAGAGAGAGAGAGAGAGCAACCTTGAGAAGCAGCACCCTCTTTGGTGAGAGTCGGGTTACGACAGCTTTGTCCGATTCGTGCAAATTAGTCCTGTCGCCAGTTTGAGCCAATCAGAAACAGTGATGGCACTTTGCATGTGGCTATGAATCATTAGGCAGCCTGTTGGTATGTATGGGTTATATTTCAGTGTTTGGTTCTTTAGGGCTTGTGTGTTTATTGTGTGTTTACTGTGTGTGTTGTTATAGTGTGTGTGTGTGTGTGTGTGTGTTTGTGTGTTTGTGTTTACTTGTAGACGTCATTCTCGATGCCCAGCAGGTCGTAGCCCATGGCCTGCAGGGTGAGCTCGTGGAGGAGGGGGGAGACGGGGTCGAATCCCCTGTCCAGGATCAGCAGCTGGCTACGAGACTTGTCCGGACCCTGGACACACACACAAATTGTTACAGGTGGTCAAATCTGAAAATGGCCGTGGCAATGCAGTACAGGTTGCAATGGGTAAGATTGTCTAGTGTTGTACTTCTAAATGTGTATGAGGTCAGCACACTAAATATACAAACTCTATATTTATGTAATTTAAACAGGTGAGGTTGGTGAAGTTGGCATCTTGTCCTGAAGTTGGCAAGTTGGCATGGGGAAATTGTAGAATTTCCCCATCATCAGCTACACTACCAATGTCAGTAACTCATATTTTTACGACTCATTTCTATAACGTCTTGTATTGCTCCGCCCGGGGCTGACGTGTGTATATCCATACCTCGCCCATGGTGGGGTCGTCTGCTTTATATCCATCCAGCTTATCCTGAAGCATCTGGGCTAGCGTAGCGCAGTCTTTATACTCCCTGTGAAACACACAGTCTTTATACTCCCTGTGAAACACACAGTCTTTATACTCCCTGTGAAACACACAGTCTTTATACTCCCTGTGAAACACACAGTATTTATACTCCCTGTTAAACACACAGTATTTATACTCCCTGTGAATCACACAGTATTTATACTCCCTGTTAAACACACAGTCTGTATACTCCCTGTTCAACACACATAGAAGGAGACGGCAATGGACTGAGGTTTGCTGCTATTGTTGTGTAATAGCAACACAGTGTGTGCAGCAGTGAATGTACTATACAAGCTTGTCTGAACACAGTTGCTACACTACATTCATCTGTTCGGTCAGTAGTTTATCACCATAGTAACACATTTACAAATGGCAAAAGGATGAAATGGGAGTTACAGAACAGACAACAAAATGGCCTTAATTAGCAGTAGTAATAGGAGAGTGAGGACACATTAGAACATTCAACACACACACACACACACACCACACACACACATATATAACATACCCACACACGCACACACACACACACACACACACACACACACATAAACATTACTTACACAACACACGCACACTCACACTCACACACACACACACACACACACATTCAACATAAACAAAACAACAATGCACAAAAGGTATCGACCACATACTACACCCACAAACCACACAACTCAGAACACAACACAGAACACAGCAGACAGGTTGTGTGTGTGTGTGTGTGGAAGGCGGGGCCTACCCTCGGTAGCGTATCCCTGGGTACTCCTTCAGCGTCGCACACAGCGTAGCGATCTGCTCCGCACATCTCTCCAGCATGTTGTTCTTCACATCCGCCTTGTAGGGGCTGTAGAAGTCCTGGAACGCATCCACCCTGTCCAGAGAGTACACCTGCACACACACACACACACACACACACACACACACACACACACACACACACACACACACACACACACAGTCTTATTTTTTACTTAGTTTTATTCTATCATATCTTCAGTATGACTGACATGTTCCGACACACACGCTCATGCACTTACCTTCATACACACACATGCATACATATGCATGCATGCACACACACACACATACGCACACACACACATGCATGCACACATACACCACACACACACACACTGAACAGAGGAGGCCATCTGTCGCGAGAGCCGTCAAACCAAAACCAATCCCCTTCTTTATGACACCTTGAACCTGATTGGCTGAGCGAGTAAGAGCTACTCTTCAATTGGCCAATGAGGATCAGCGGATTAGAGGAGGATCCGCAAGGCTACCTCCCCATCCCTCTCTCGCTCCCTCCCTCCCCCTCACCCCCCCCCTCATTAAGGATTAAACAGACTGGTGAGTGGTTGAGGATTGGAGGAACGTTCAGGGCCCCTTCCCTCCCTAGCGCTGCTAAACTTGTGTATTATGGGTCTGTCACCATACTGCAACAATCACTGAGGAATTAGGATTTAGTACACACACCCACACATATAAACACAGGAACTATATTCAGCAACATTGAAACAATAGCATATATTTCCTTTCTTTCTTTGGAGACGGTAGGTAGTCTGAGGGGTAAAGTTAAGGGTGAGGGTTATTAGGGATAAATCATCTAAAGTCTGATAGCAGCTCAAATCTGGGTGAACGGGGTGTTTCACTTTCTTTCGCTTCACATTTGTTTCGACCAATCATGTTGCTGTGGAGGCGGGGATCTGTTAGCGTGAAATTGGCTTTTAACAGTGAATGCAAATGAGTTTCTCTTTGGTAGAAAGAAACCAGGAAACAAGGCGTAACTCCACCCCTTGCAGTTTCTGGTTTCCGGCCCAGGCTCTGTGCCGCCTCCCCTCAGAAGTTCTGCTATAACATAGCAGGACTGCTGGATCCCACATTATAGTAAGGGTGACCTACCTGAGACTCATAGGGCAGGAAGGAGACGTGGATCTCCGTCAGGGCCTTCATGGCCTTGGAGGCTCGTGATTTGGTCAGCAGGCCGAACAGCATGTCAGGGGATAGCTGTGGTGAATCATGTACCAGGGTTACTCGGAGAGCAGAGACACTGATGGTAAACTTAAAGACTGGTATGGATGGGGTTTTGATTGTACCATAGCAGTCTTTTCTGCTCAATGTTGAAGGCTTTTATAGATGAATCATAGTAGGATCAAACGTTATACTATTATACTAATGACAATATAGCAACGTCATGAATGCAATAATGTCTCGTACAGATATTTTTGGTGTAATCATCCGATATCTCTACAAACTGTTTATACGCCTCTGTAAATGAAAAGTACATGCCTGGACTAGAAAAGACGGGGAAATACAGTACATGTTAAAGTACTACCATTAATGCAACTATAATGTTTTAAAAGAGGCAAATATTATAACTACCGTATATTAAAAACAATTTCCCACTGTGAATAAATGTCTACGTATGTGACTAAAAGTGATAATGGCAGCGTTTGGACACTAAGTGACTTACTGTCAGTGAAGAAGACATGAGCCGCTCTGTACTGGAGGTTTCTGGGGTCTCTGAAGTCTTCAATCAGACCTTCTACTGACTGGGAGACACATCACAGAGAGGTGAGTTCAGTTCAGGTGTAATATCAACAACATATTACAATGTAGAGCGAGCTGGCCCTTATTGCGAAATAAACCCCGACACGGTGATGCAGGACCCCTGCACCCCTGCATGCACGCTTATTACACTGCTACTTACTAAAGAAATTAATCATTTGACACAAATATAACAACAAAAAATTATTTTATTGATTTAAAAACTATTTTACTGCTTCCGCTAAAAAAAGAGTCTGTTCTGCGGATTCTGCGGTTGTAAATAGTGTCCATAGCAACGGTTCTGTTAGTTATAGCAGCCGTCGGAATTGGATTGACCAATCAGAATTGGTCAATTACGTTGTGGTTTCTTCCGCTTATACCACAGTTACCAACAGTGATTAGATATTAGTTACTTTTATCTTATCATTAATATTAGTGTTTTTCTATCAACATAATCAGCTGAAATTAATGAATATTTTCTCCTTTCTTGTGTTGTCTGTTTTTTTCTATTTGATCATTGTTGTTGGATTTGTAGTGAATGGTTAAAAGGCAGAGGTGTCCCGTTATTGGAAAACAACGTGGCACTCAATGACTCCAGTAGCACCGAAGAGTGAGTGAGCTGCAAGTCTCACCTCGTCTGAGGGGGTGATGAGGTAAATTGGCCTCCCATGCTGGGTAGAGGTTCTCGTTTCTTGGTGATGTCTTCTACGACTAGGAAGCACAAGAGATAACACTTTGTGATGTCTTTTATGACTAGGAAACAACAGATAAGCACTTGGTGATGTCCTCTATGACTAGGAAGCACAAGAGAGCTAACATCACCCTAAACAACGGGTGTTGGATCTGGAGATAAAATAAAACTGTTATTCATGTGGGTACTGGTCAATTGAATTGAATCGAATTGAGTTGAATGCATTAAATTAATTGAAATCGGAATTGAATCAAATGGAAATTGGCATGTGAATTGATGATTGGATTGAATTGCGTCTGGTACTTAATTAATTGAATTGGATTCACGTTAAATTGAATTGTATTGATTAGGGTACCGACTGGGGTGAGTGGGGTACGTACTGGTGATACCCTCGGGCACATGATGTCAGTCATCTTGCAGCAGGGACGAGATCATCCTCATGCTCAGCTTGTCCACCACCAACACCCTTACTCCATTACCATGGAATCACACACACCAACACGAAACCCCATTGGATTAGGTTCAACCAATGGCAGTCTAAACCCTAGGGCATCCAGGAAGTGAGGGTCCATGCATATCATTAATTCAAACAAGGACTTGTAAAACAAAGTAAAAGACTACGAAGAGAAAGAGAAAAGAGTGTTGTACCTTCCAACTTCCCCTTCTCTCTGGGCCTTCTTGATCACATTATTCATGATCTCTGTGGAGGATAGAATAGATATGTAGTCGTTATATTTTGACCTAAACATCTATCCAAGACACACACCTACAAACCGCATCGGGGTATGCCATCTGGTGGTGGATCTTCGGATTTTATGGAGACCTATAGTGGGAATCGAACCCCTAACCCTGGCAGTGGGTAATGCCATGCTCTACCAGTTGAGCTAAACAGGGAATCGAACCCCTCACCCTGGCAGTGTTCGTGCCTTGCTCTAATCAGCTGAGGCCGAACAGCATCACAGTACCAGTTGTAACTTATAATGTTCAGAGTTATTGTGCACATATAAGTCAGATATACGGAGTATGATGGATGGATGGATGGACAGAGAGAGATGAGGAGAGTATTGTGTGTGTGTAGAGTGTGTGTGAGAGAGAGATTGAGTTGTGATAGCCAGGAAGAAGCAGGCAGACGGAGAGACAGACATGAGTGCCGATTGATGGATGGGTGTGTGTGTGTGTGTGTGTGTGTGTGTGTGTGTGTGTGTGGTAGGGAGATGAGTAATGAAATAAGCTTTTTGGTCTTCCTTGGAGAGAAGAGGGAGAGAGAGAGATATGAATCTGTGCAGCAGAGATAGTGCGTGTGTGTGGTGTGTGAGAGAGAGATGAGAGAGAGAGAGAGAGATGAGAGAGAGAGAGAGACGAGAGAGATGGAGAGAGAGGAGGGAGAGGAGAGAGAGGGCAGGGCGGGAGAGTGTGTGTGGTGAGTGTGTGTGGTGTGCGTGCAGTGTGTGTGGCTGAGAGATGAGGAGGATTGTGTGTGTGTGTGTGTATGAGGGAGACAGAGAGAGTAGTGCTTGTGTTTGTGTGTGTGAGGGAGGAGAGAGAATGTGTTTTGTGAGGGGAGAGAGTGTTGTGTGTGTGTTCTGTGTGGTGTGTGTGTGTGTGTGGGGGTGTGTGTGCGCGAGAGAGAGGGAGAGAGAGTATGTGTGTGTGTGAGTGTGTGTGAGAGAGAGAGGAGATTGAGTGTGTGCAGCGAAATAGTGTGTGTGTGTGTGCGTGTGAGAGAGGGGGAGAATGTGCTATGTGTGTGTTTGTGTGTATGTGTGTGTAAGGGGGAGAGCGAGACGAGTGGTGTGTGTGTGTGAGGGAGGGAGAGAGAGTTGTGGTGTTTTGAGAGAATGTGTGTGTGTGGAGGTTAGAGAGAGAGAGACAGGACAGACAGAGAGAGAGAGAGACATAGAGAGAGAGACAGAGAGAGACCCATAGCAATCATATAATCTCTTCCCAATCTCTTAACCCTATGCTCCGTTATTCAGATCTTTCTGTGTCAGTGGATGTGACGTTCATAGACACACACACAAACACATACATACATTTGATCACACACACACACACACACACACCAGGTCACACTAACACACAGACACAAATGCTCACGGACACAGGCAACACACACACATCCTCATTGCGCGTGGCTACCATGCAAACATGGCGCCGTGTTGCATACTAAATGGACATGTAGCTATAAATACCAGACCTTACCAAACAATACACGCTTATCGACGCGTAGTGAGAGCATCCCGGTAAAACGGGGATCATAAACAATAGGCTATCGATCAATATATACA